GACAATAACTTTAATCATACCTCATCATATAATCATAATCATGTTTAATAAGCATATTCCATAATACCATGAGAGTTAAAAACTAATCCCATCCTATGGCTAGCATAGGTATGTTTTAGCCAAAAAGTGGAGTCACTTGCTCAAATTTACAAATAAATGCTCCTTGGTTGGTACTTGTATACATTTTTGAATCCTATTTTTGATTATTACAAAATAGAGAAATTATTGTTTTCTAGAAGAATTATACCTGATAACTTAAGGAAATTAGAACTATGTGCTTAAATCTTAGTTTCCTATCCTATTTTTGTCCTTTCATTCTTGTTATTCATCCATCTACCTTAATCATTTCAACTTGAGGCTTAAATATCCTTTAAACTCGTTTTTGCTATGCTGGTCTTATTCCTTTTGGTATGAAAAAATTCATACTATATCAAGTCCTTCATAACCTTATCAATGTGTCTATGCCATTATGAAAGAGTCCTCACACTATTAGACCTTTAGTTGTTATTTCATATTAGTACCAATCTCTTCATGCATATATGAACTTTCATACCCCTAACCAGTACTAATCTCTTCATACCCCTATGAACTTCTTCATACCATATGAAACCTATTCAAACAATGTCTTTTACATATTCATTGTAATATGAATTCTTGATCCAAACATTCATTCTATCACACATTCATACTCATACTGGTATGAATGTCTTCCTACTAATATCAACATGAAGATTTTTGCTCTATTTTTTGTGGTCCTTAACAAATATTCAAAACATTTTATATCATGTTCTCAAGTACACAACTTTAATCCAAACACATTTTTGACATGATTTAGTCCCACTTGGCAACACAATTCTCTAAACACATGTAATCATTTGTAAACATGTACTTTCATAACACAATAAATCATAACAAAAATTCACATCATCAATTACAGGTCACACACCATAACAAGATATAAGTGGTTACATCTATTTCTTACCAGAAAAGTTTCCCCAACTTGTTAATGACCACCCTTTACAATGTTAACACTATAGTCTAAACAACACATAATTGCTAATTATTGTTAATGCACACTAATTGTAGCGAATTACAGTATTTAAACATTAATCACACATTAATTCTAGAGTTAGTTTAATTAATCTCTTTAAACTTAACACCTCCTATACACATTAATCATAATTTTAGACTCATAAATCCTCACTGTGCTATTCATTCCTAGATTCAACCTCTATATTTCAAAAATCATCCTCAAAATGTCACTTTTAAATCTAGAGTTTTGGATTTAACCATTCCATTACCACAAACAACATCAAAACTACCTAAAAAACTTTTATTTAACCAAAAACAATAATTCAAATTCATGTTCAAGGGTTGGGTAACTCTAAAAATGGAACACTTGCATTAAACATTAAATAAACTATCTAAAAAGAGGATATTAAAAGATAAAAGGAAGACTAAATAAGGTTACCTTACTGATTTGGAGCCTTAAATTTGTGCCTTAAGGTTGGGATCCTCAAACCTTAATAAAGCCTCTAGAAATTCACCCAGTACTCCTAAAATCTCCCCTAACTTGTATCTGTCATGAAGATAGATTGATAAAGTTGTATGCCATGGCAAACAAACCATGCATCAAAGCTCATGACACAAAAATAGTACACTTCATTTGGGCTCATGATACAAAGTTGTATGCCATAACCCATTATTTGAGCCTAATTCAGCCCAATATCTATTTTGGACCCTATTAGGCCTCCATACATGTCTCTAGGCCAATTTTAGCCTACAATTAAGTTCCTAAACCATCAATAAACCATGATTATCCTTAAACACAATTCATTTCCTCAATTAAACCTCCAATTAATCAATATGTCAATTTAAATTCCTCAATAACTCCATAAATCAATTTCCTAATAAAAACTGGGATGTTATAGTTACATACCAAGGTGTTGGGCCAACCAATCATAAGATAGCTACACAAACTAAATCATAAGTGTAAATCATTAATTATAGCTCTATTATTGAGCCCTTAGACCTTAGACTACTATATATTCTTACATGACAAACGCCATATTTTGACATGATCGAAAGTCACTTTTAATCGAGTAATCATTAAGGTTTCATGGTTGAGCATAGTGGGATCTATACATAGGAAAATGAGTGGTCATGATGAGATTTGTCCCTCTCATTAAGAGAGAGATATCTTTGGACCCATTGATGAGTAAGACTAAGAAATGCATGGCCGTGCACAAATGAAATGAGTTTCATTTGTCTTATTAGTTTACTTAGAGATCAAGAAAGATGGTTAAGCAATACGAGAGTGACATCTCCATGTATTATTCTTGATCTAGATATTGTGTAAAAGGAACTTAAAAAAGTTGTAACATAGGTTACATTGAATCACCGATGTTTATATAATGTGAATAGTCATAATATCTTACTAGAGATCACTTATGACTTGTGAGCCAAAAGAGTAGTTTAGGCCCACCGCGAACATTGTAGGAGCCTATAGGGTGCACACAAGAATGAGCTAACATGAACTAAAATGTCTAGATTCATTGAATCTAAAAAGTGTTTAGATTTAGAGAATAAAAAATATCTTCATTTAATTTAGAAAGTTTTATATTTTTTTGAAATAGAACAAATTTAAAAGATATTCTAATTTGAATTAGAAGTATATAATATTACTTATAGTAAAATTATAATTTTTATTATTATTGAGAATAATAATATTAAAGTTAATTTTGGAATTAAAATCTTTAGAAGATTTATTTTGAAATATGATATATTTGAAAGAGTTCATAATTAAAAAGATTTCCCAAATACAATGATAAAATCCTATTAAAGATATTGGTGGATGAAAATTAATGTATATATGATATACATAATTTTTCAAATAGAATCTTATGAGAGGATAAAATAGCATTTAATTTAAATATGTGATTTAAGTTAAATTAGGGATTTTCAATGAGACTTTAGAGCCAACCTCTATATAGATAAGGAGACAAGGGTTTTTTAAGAGATGAAAACCTTAAAAAACCACCTATAAAGAGAGAAAAACTTAGGAGAAAAGCATAGGGCATTTTTCACTTAAGTTACACAATGCAAATACGTGAGACTTTTTGGATGGCAAGGACTAGTTGTAGTTTAAGATAAGGTGCTAGCACATGGTTCATGTTTGTGGTCTCATTCATGTGAATACTAGTAGAGGGTGTTCATTCGAAGAGTAACACCTATGATTTAAGCTTCTAAATAGAGATTAGAAGATTGAATATCTCAATCAATTTAGTAAGTTCTATCTCTCCAATTTGATTTAAGCAAAGCTGATGGATCCTTTTTGGGTTTTTGAGAAAATTTTTAGTTTTATTCCACTGTGTGTGCACTCAAAAACCCAACATCTTAATCATAGATTAGGGTTTTGACTTTTGTTGCTTAGTTTCCTATTTCCTCTTGAGCATGTGTTTTGCAAGACTATTTTCCTATTTTGTTTTTCAGCATATGCAACATGTGTTGAATCTTTTCTTGATCACGTAGCATTTATTAGTTGATATTGCTTAGGATTCAAGTCTTTAGCTTCTTAGCAAAGTCAAGGGAGTCTTCTATTTACTCATTGATGTTGAATCTTCATGATTTAGAAAACCTTCCTAAATTCTGCAAGAGGAGACGCCACCCTTGACTTGTCTTCTAGGCTTAGGCTTTTCATTTGAGTCTTCTGTCTTTTGCCTATAAATATGAGGCACCATCTTATGCATTTTTTTCAAAATAAGTTTATGAATGAAAATTTTCTCTTTAGAGTTTATAACTCTATGTTGTGAGCTGTGCTTGCTTATAGATATCCATTTGGCACACTTAACCAATCCTGATTGCACCCTTACTAGTACACTCAAACTCATCAACAATCTTCCCACCATTGATTTTGGCATCCTTCTTGGCCAAAGAAAGTGAGGAAGCAGTGGCTGCTATAATGTAGTGTACTCAACAACACGAAGAATGATGACCAAACACAGTCAAAGAAGAAAGTTGCCTCCTAGGTTTTGTAGGACTCTCTCTCAAACAATAAAGTAAATTTGTTAAAGATGATAAAATGAAAGATGCCAAATGATAGAACAAGGATGGAAGAATGAAAGTAGCGGAAATGAAAAGGTGAAGCACAGAAAAGAATAAAGAAAGTTGAGAGGTGAATTGCCTGCACATGATATATATATATTTTTTTTCAGGGAATAAGTATAAGAACTAGGGAGTAAAATTATGATTATAAATATTTGATGTGGACATATTCTTCTTGTTTTTGAGAAAGAGGTGCTGCACCAATGAGTTTAACTTTACAAGTTTTATTTCATATTAATTGCCTACTGGTTTGAAGCTATGAAGGTTGTTCTGTATAAAATATTAAGTCTTGAATATATATTGATTATTAATGACTGGTATGACTCTAGTTTGACTCTCAATTGAACCCCTAACCTTGGCTGATTCAATGACCGATTCGGTTTTTTGGAAGCCACATCTTATGTATTTTTTTTTTTCAAAATAAGTTTATGAATAAGAATTTTCTCTTTAAAGTTTATAACTCAGTGTTGCGAGCTGTGCTTGCTTGTGGGTATCCATCTTGTGGTAAATAAAATATGTGACCAAGAGTTAGATAAACTCTTATAGTGCCTTCAAAGGTTAAGGTTGCTAAAAGTACGTGCTACAGGAATTTTTTTCCTTCATCATTATCCATGTTATTTCCTTTCTTCTATTTCGTTTCACTTTGTTTATTTCATTTCTTGTTTGTATTTTAAGTTCTATCATGAATTAGCACGATCTCACTTCCGCCCTTGTATCAATCAATTTTTGTATTTGGATGGCTATATGCAACTATATATACAAGCTTAGGCATATGTTAATAAATGTGGATTATTCTATGTATGGACTTCGTTGATTAGAATGTAACAGATGGTTGAGCTCTCTTCAAGAATGTGTAGAATGTGATAGAAGATAAAGATTCAATTAAGCATAACAAAAATGTAGAGGTGCATTCCAATCATAAAATGGAAAAGCGGAATATCCTTTTTAATTCACGACTCTTAGACTATATATGCCAGTACATTATAGGAAGAGATCCATCATTCAAAGTGACAACTACATACTGTTTTTAGTAAAGCATATGCTTACTTGGCCGAAAAAGTGCCCTGCAAGAGTATGTAAAATAGACTATATCATACCAGACTGGGAATAGCCAAATTGCAAATAAGGATATGGGCACCAAAAAAAGAATAGAAATAAAGTTAGGAACCATGTTTAAACCATGATAATATGTAACGAAGAAGGCACTACTGGATGCCATCATCATGCTTATTATGGACAAGAAAAGTGCCGCCAATCCAGAAATCAACTTAAATGGTAGTGACTTGTAAAACTCCTGCTCTGCATAGCGTGAGATGATGATAGACAAGAAAATGACGGTGGAGGTTGAGGATGAGATCAATGCCATTGCATTAGACGTGCCAAATATCAGGAATGATTTCTTTTGCAAGTAATTCGGGATTCCCGTATTGTCATTGACACCGCCTGGTATATTGAATGAAGCAGAAAACACTCCAGTAGTAATAAGAGTGGAAGCAACCATGCAAGAGTTTGCTACTCCCTTCTTCCATGTTTCTGCTTTGCTTAGCAATCCTTCATGCTCTTTTGTGAATAGCTGGCTAGGAGTCAAGCCTTCACCATTTTTCATCTCCATGAATGATGGTGGCGATATCTTCTTCTCCTCCTTCCATGTTAGAGGACATATAAATAACATCAGTGTAAAAATATAACATCAATAATAAATTTTTCTATTTAATTTACATGCCTTAGTTGATTTCTCAAATTTCGCATAATTAATGAGGGTCCACCTAGTGTAAATATAAAGCTAATTAACTCCTAGATATACTTTATTGTTACTAGCTAGCAACATACCTCAAACCATAATAACTCAAGGGACATCTGAAATGCTGCTCCAGAAATTGAGTTTAGTCGATCTGGTGGTGCTAATTTTGCAGCCATATGCAATAAGTTGCTTTGATCTCTGTTATCCAAAAAACTTGCTATAAAATTTTTGGTTGGGCCAATGTCATGTATGAGATTAAAGATATAAGCATGACGATGCAAAACGGCAATGTGAATTATGCTTCGATTTCTTTCATCAACTTCCCATATCAACTCAGGATAGGTACTTAAAAGCTCAGCCAGAAACCCAAAATTTCCTACTTCTACTGCATTAAATGCTACTTGTGAAGGTACTCTGCTGTTGCCTAAAATCTCCTTGTCGTCTCGAGTAAGAAATATGTTCCACAAGCATTCTACAAGTTGAAGTTGCTGACTTTGTTTCGAACCTAAGAAACACAATTTGACCATTGGGTCAATTGAGAAATTGAGTTAAGACTTAAAAGAAAAACTGAAAATATTTTGAAAGAAAATTCACAAACTACTACTAAAAAATAATGTTGTGTTTTCTCTCATCACGCATCACCATTTCTTTCTAATTACAAGTAAATCTGCTGTAGTATTTAAAAAAAAAAACTAAATTCTCTTGCGCCAATTGTTCAAATTAATTTATAGCTTTGATTGATCATTTTGTGCAAGAAATTGAGAAGTAAAGAATTCGCTTGCCTAAAGGCTTTCGAGCCAACTTATGCAGTATTGTCTCGTTAGCTTGATCCCTCTTAAAAGCTAGACCTGGCATCTTCTCAAGCAACTGCAAGGCTAAATCTGAGCAAAGGAATGAAATAATGAAGTCATGATTATTTCTTGAAGAAGTGTCAAGCAAGATATGATATCAGTATTCAAACTATTTCCTTGAAAATATGCTTTCATCTGTTTGTTTAATATACCAACCATAGATTCCACTGCTGACACAATAGAATAACAGTAAAATCCAGTCAGTATCTTCAAAATCTTGCACAGTTTTAGAGTATAGATGCCATGTCATTTCACTTTTTCCTTGCAAAGCAGCTATGTGAAGAGGAGTGATTCCTCCGCAACCCCTTATTGTTGGCAAGTTCTTATTTTTTCTCTCCATTATCTGGACAGTCTGCAAATTCCCAGTAGCTGCAGCGATGCAAAACGCAGTGTTCCCATTCACGTCCTGCAATTCCAAGTCTTCTGGATTCATGATCTTCACCAGCTCGTCGACAAAGCGAGCACGGTTCACTCCGGCGGCCACATGGAGAACTGTCGCGCAACGCATGGTTATGGCAGCAGAAACTAGAGTCCAATCTTTCTCTAAGATGTTCTTCGCTGCTTTCCAATCACCTTTCATGGCTGCTTTGCGAAGGGGAACACATACCTTAGGTACTTATCTCTTCGCTCTTCTGAATCAAGTTAGCATGGATGGTCATAAATGAGGTATTTGAATTCAACGTGAGAAATAGAGTGAGCTAGTTAAAGGTACTAAATGATTAAAAGTCTATTTACTATTATATATTACATACACACAGGGAAAAGGGGGGAGGGAGAGAGTACGTGGATCATCCAAAAGATGGAGATAAGGCCTCCTAATCTGAGCTGAAGCAGCCTTCTGAAGCTGTTGTGCTGGTACAGTTCTGGATCTTACTTCTGCTTCTGCCATTTCCCTAAAATGATGATGAAGAAATGTACTGCGAGGTGTAAGGTGAAGGAAAAGAGAGGTTTAGAAATTTACATGTGGATTAAATGTAGGGGCAAGCAATTGCAAGGGCGACTTCCTGGATCTGATGGTTTGTGCTTAAACAACCACGCAAGATTCTAAACAACAACAAAACAGTTTCAAGCATCAATACGTGAATTCTCTCTCAAGATAAAATTACAGTAACTAGGAAGAAAGCATCACAAAAAGTCACCAAGGTTTTTTCTTTCCCCAAAAAAAAAAAAAAAGTCCGTCTCTCTAGTTAAAAATAACTGTTACTGTGAAGAAATGAAGCAGCAGCTAGCAGCAGAAATAGGAGCTATAGGGGGCACAGAAAGGGGAAGAAAGTACATTGGGATGAAATTTGAAATAGATGCAGAATATAAAAGAACAGTGACTAGAATGAAAGAAATAAAGCAACAGCAACCGACGAAGATTTAATTACCTGAAATTAGAAAAGCTTGGATGGATCAGGAAGTTGAAATTCTAGAGCTCACCAAAACCGTCGTCGAGTTTAAATGTGTCACTGCAATGTCTTCGACGCAATATATATACAAAGTACCTCTAGTGAGTACTCTGCTGTTGTTTTCCCCCTTTGGGGCCCCACATGCATCAAATTGAAGAGAATCTTGAAGATATTATTGGATACTAAACGTGATATCTTTCCTAATAAAGATTCAACCTCCATTGATTTTTATCATAACCCAAAAATATAAGTTAAATTAAAATTGAGGATAAAGTATTTTAATTATAATTTTAGATATTTTTTGGATAGACCTATCAAAAGAAAAATTCGTGGCTCAATGGTAATTCTCATTGCTGTTAACTCTTGGGTTCCTCACGCCTACTCTTCTTCTCATCTTTTCTATATACACCATAGCCAAACATCAAAACCTCCTTCACCCCTCCAAACGAAGACCTCATCCACCCTTCGTCCATTTGGCTTCAAGGTTAGTCTATTTTCCAAATTTTCAACTTTCAACTTTGTTCTTGCAATGGAAATTGATTTTCTACTTGTTCTTGTTTGAAAGGAGTTTAATGGTTATACTTGTGGGTAGTTTCTCATTGCTTTGGCTTGAGTTTTCAAAGGTAGAAATTTCCTATTACAAGATCAGATGCGACATTTGTTATCAAATAAAAAATAATAATTCGTTTTTTTTTTTTATGCTTCTAAAATGTGTTCAGGAAAATCTAGTTGTTCCAATCTTTTTCTGCACAAATTGAAATCGCATGTTGAAATAGAAGTCCATTGACGATATATATGTCATATATATATATATATATAGTAATTAATTTGAAATTTAAAAAGTCACCAAAATGTGGTGGTTTGACCCGTTGACCCTCAAACCTCCAAATAAAAGGGCTGACATGGTGAAATCCAGCGCTTTTTTTTTTTTAAATGCAAGCTGGCCTATATCCGCAAGTCTATGAAGAAGATGGGAGAGAACGGGGGATGTGAAACGAGAAAGAAGAGGGATTTGTCGAACTACAACAAAAGAAGATGATATGAATTCTGATCAAGAGAGAAACGTCGATGACGTGGACGAGTTTGAGATCAATGGCACACTGGAAGTAGAGGACAACGAAGAGAACGAGCCCAATAATGAAATCGATGATGGTGAGCTTCAATGCAGATGACGCAGGAGCAGGCAGACAACAAGCTACTACAACACATGAACAGCCGACGAGGAGGATCGGACAAGTTTGTGAGACGACGTAGGATGTGGACAGTGATGACCTTAAACACGGCACGATTGGCATCAACGACAGGGTAGGTTCAAGAAGGTTACCATGGACCATCGGAAGAAATAGATTTATCGAAGGGAAAATTTCAGTTAGCGACCCCTGACCAAACTTAATCAAAAAGAAGACCTTAGAATTTCTAAAACTTCACCGAAGGACCTGTACAGAATTGCTCCTGAATTTGTAACAGAAATGACAAAATTGTCCATGTTTAAAGGACCAATATAAATGACTTGTTTGTTACCATACTGTATGTTATTCATATACTTACGGAATGTTATTCGTTTTTTTACTTCACTTGTTTATAAGTTTAATTTCACTTTTATTCCGTGTTGGTTTCATGATAAGACGACTTATTCATTCTCATACTGTATGTTGCTCATTTACTTATCAAATATTATTTATTTTCCTACTTCACTTGTTTATAATCCTTGAAATAAAATCAAACGAAAGTAGACCTATAAATAAGTAAAATAGAAAAATGAACAATATTCTATAAGAAAATAAATAATATAGAGTATGAGAATAAATAAATTGTTTATGTTGTTTATTTAAATGAGTACAATTTTGTCATTTTCGTCACAAATTCAACAGAAATTTCATATGGGTCCTTAATTGAAATTTCAGAAAATTTAAAATTCTCCTTTTTATTAAATTCGGTCCAGGGTTGCTGACTGAAATTTTCCCTTTATTGAAACTACTTGGGCACTCAAAAAGTGGGTTCTGATGCTGGGGTGAATGAATAGTAAAAACTACAAGAGCACTTTTTGTGTAAAGCGCTTCCATGGGTCTAATCCTAAGTAAGTAGACTATAAATCTATCTTCTTAAAGGTAGTTTCTGAGCGTTTTAGGCTAAAAGTGCTTCGGTAGTTTCAGGACCTTCCAGGGCGCTTTTATGGAGAAGCACTCTAGATGGTCCAGTTAAAAATTGAGAATTTTGAGAGCATTTGCGTTTCTTATCAAGAGCGCTCTGGAAAGTCATTCCCTGCTACAGCAGAGCGCTTCTAGTCCGAAGTATACTGGTAGGGCACTTTATTTTTTTCGAAGGGTGTAGTGGAGCGTTTTTAAGAATATGCACTCCTATAAATACCACGCTAGAATGCTTCTAATATGAAAAACTCCCATATTTTTGGTTTCAACCTCGAAGTATTTTCATGTATAACTTTTTCGATATAGGTGTTCCTACAAATTATTTATTTATTTATTTATTTTGTAGTAGTAAGCTCACAATCTAATTGCATGTGTGCATGCATGCACACCTGTGTGCTTACACCCAAAATCTATTATAAAAAAACTTTATTGTTTAGAATCTAATTAAATCGAGTTGTATTATTTATGATTTGTAAAGAGTATAGTACTTTACTACTTTTATAAATTTTATATGTGTGTATGTGTGTCAATGTTAATTCAAATTAAAAATCATTTTTTCCTGTTTGATTTTTATATGTGATAATGTATATACACACACATATAATTTTTGTCATGCAAGATGCATGCCATTCCCAAGAGTGTCACAGGGTTAATTTTGTCCGTCACGAAAGATAATTAAACCAACAAGAGATTCCTTTATTAGTGGCCAAGAGCGTCCTAATCATGCATCCAATTATCTTTATGGCAGATGGAGGATGAAAATATTAATGCATGCGGTAGTTCATTTAGAAAATGAATTATACAACTAATTGAGATCAACTCTAGCTACATGCAATCATATTTTTGTATTTATTCTTCCTCGGTTTTTTTGATGGAATATTTTATCCTTCATCTAATCATATGATTGAATGAATATAAATATTCCTATTTGTACTTAATGCTAAGTGATAGTGGGATTTGTATAGCAACACAATAGGGTAATAGTCTTTCAAGGCACGTAGAGTTTAATTCGTGATGTAACTATAGTAGATTTTGTGTATATTACACAAATTTTAATAGGATGAAATAGCAATTTGATCCCTAAATTATAGATCAAGAAGCGTTTAAGACTTTAAATTTATTTTTGTGCAATGTTTCCCCTCATCAACTTTTAAAAACGAGTGCAATTTAATCTCTATCATTAATAAAAGTTAATTTTGATTACTAGTTTATTAAAAAATGTTAGAAAGGACAAAGAAATTTTTTGGCTCATTTATAATTTGTGTGTCTTTTTTATAATTTTATTTGTCCTTTTTTTGTAATTTTGTTGTTTCTTTTTTATTATTTTTAGTTAACTAATAGTCAAAATTAAATTTTGTTAACAATAGGAATTACATTGTACTGTTTTCAAAAGTGAGAGAAAATATTATACAAAAAATAAGTTTAAAGTCCCAAATACTCCTAGACCTATAATTTAGGGGTCAATTGCCCTTTAACCCAATTTAATGTAAAGCATATTGTTCAAGAACAGTTGTAGCTCATCATATATACATATAAAATATTTTGCATGAATGAAATTGATACGTTGATATTGTTTCAAAGAAACTTAGATGATGTTTCTTTTTTGCGAATTAATTCGTAAGTGGTATTTGAAGTCTTACTTTTAAAACTTCATATAGTCAAAACCTTTTATTTGGATAGTGTGAAAAATTTCAAAGGAAAAAGAGAGGCGAGTTGAAATCACATGAAGAGAGTAAAAAATGTTGAAGTAATTGAAATTTTAAATAATTAAAATTACATGAATTTGAAATTATAAAAAAAATTATAATGAAAAATGGATTTAGATTTGAATTATGCACGTGAGAGCTTTGGTTCGTATCCAAATTCAATGCATATTAATCCAAACACAATATAAGAATTCTGTTAATATACATTATGAGTTCTCTTTAATATACGCTTATCAATATCAACATAATTGTTTTTTCCAAGAGTCCAAAATATAAGTAATTACCAACTTTTTCAACAATGCACTGTGGGAAATATTCATGTTAAAGATGTTATAAAGCCTAAAAGTTCGCACTATTAATGACTTATTAAAAGTACAACAACTTCATGTAACATATCTCTAATTTTTTTTTTTTTTTTACTTTTTTCACCCGCCGCTCCCCCCCGGGGGGTGTTGTTCCTAAAAATTTTAACGCTTATAACGTTGTTTTTCGGATATAAGTTTATAATAACGTTGTTTTTACCTTGTAAATATGTTTTCTTTAGTGCGCACATGTGGCTTGTAATGATTAAAGGCAATGATGTTCAAAGAATAATTAGATATTAAATATAGCCATCTCCTCCAACAAAATTTTATAATCATATGTTTGACCAGTAAAAATATCTAATTCTATTAATAGGGTAAAATCTAACAAAAATATTAGTTTTTCACAGCACGTAGTGAATCAAAATAATTAAATATTCTCGTTGAAAGATATACTCATATTAGTATATTTGATTATTTCATGAACATTATCATTTCTAATAGCAGGATGTGATACAAATTATTCCTAAATTTTTTTAGGGTCTTGGTATGGAAGAAATGAAATGTGAAAAGAAGATAAAAAAAAATATTGAAAAGAAAAAATCCCAAAAATAATGCATGAACATTTCGGGGGAACTGCTTTCACATGGTTCTCCCTCTTTTCACTCGCTCCTCTTGTTTCGATGAATTAGTCATTGGAAAATTTGTCTCCGGAGAATGTGATCGATCACGACAAAGGACGAATGACGTGCTCAGACAGTTGCCATTCACATGTTATTATTTTTTCCCCCCTTTTTTAATTATTTAATTAAATAATTACTCAGATGTGTGACATTCCCCTTATGGGGACAGCTCACCGTTTCAAAATTTGTGTATTTAACAATCTCGAACAATGGTC